ACTAATGCTTAAAAACTACCAACGGAAGAAAATACTTTTATTATGGATTCTCAAAGATTACCGTTTATCTCCCCCATTTCAAAGATTACCGTTTTCAAATCAAGCTGGTAGCTGGCTATACATCTTTTCTCCTCTACTTTCAAATATTGTTGTTAAACAATGCTTAACTTTACTGATTTTTGACAAATCGGTGGTTGGCCTTTTTAACCCCGGACCTTCATATATTACTATCTATTCTGCGATAAATTCTGGGAAATTATAACTGGAAAAATGTTATTCGACAAAAGGTCCATTTGATCGATACCAAATTTAGGTTCTGAATTTAAATAACATAAATAAAAAATAATATAACCTAGAAAATGTTTTATAAATACCAATGAGCATATAATTATACAAATAAGATCTTTTAGAGCACCGTGTTTGAGAAAAATATGCCAAAAATGCATTTTCATATTAACATATCAAAAAAGTTTATATTTTGAGTCTCTAGTAACACTTGGGGCCCGTTTACTAACGTTTTTGTATATAAATAAAACTACAAACAAAACTACTTACTACAAATTTATCACAAAAAAATAATATTCGCGTAAAACATCCTATTAAACGTAATTGAACATCATCTGTCAAAAGCGTTTGACATTTCATGAAATTGCCACCGTCCATTGTTCTATTTAAATTACGCTTCTACAAAAATTTTCAAATTCAAAATGTAAAGTTTCTACGCGGATTTGAAATAATTTCTTACCTTTTGGACATTCTCTGGATTAGCACGAATTTTTCAAGACTAAGACTGGCCCAATCGATTCAGCCGTTTTCGAGTTTTATTCGGACATTTGAAAGAGAGCTCCATTTTTATATATAAGATATATATATATATATATATATATATATATATTTATAAACGATTATAAAAGATTTTTTGATATGTTAGATAGAGATACAGCCTGTATCATGGATGATCATCCAGCATCATACACAATTTTTCATATAAAATTCATATAATGCATGCATTTGTATGATGTAGCGTTTCACCATAATTAAACTTTTTTCTATAATAAGTAATAAATTACAATGAAAAACAAATGATGACTTCACAAAAGAACATGTTAGATTTTTTAATAGGTCCATCTTAAAAACAGGCATCACCAACATCACCAACTTTTTCTCTTGTAATTATTTATATACATAATTTTATAAAAAATGTTAATTCATAATTTAAAGCATAAATAAACACTTAGATCAAATTTTATTACAAATAATAATTATTACACCATCAATAATTGCATAATGTATGCTAACTTTTTAGCACATCCAAATAAAATTCGTGAGCAATTATACCATTCATGCAAAAAATGCTCAAAATCGGTTATAACTTGTTAATGTATACTAGTTTAAATGATTATTTAGTGTATATATGTTTAGTCTATATTTATTTTGTTATAAATTATAATATATCGATTTGGTTTGCTGATATATTGATTGAACTAACGTAAGAGCAAATAAATCTCAAATGTAGTATAAACATAAACACAATTTTAATTGAAAATTTTATATATATATATATATATATATATATATATATGATAAAACATAAAAAAAATAATGATTTATAAATTAATCTTTAATTCCTAAACGTTTCGACATACAATTTGGTGTCATCACTGGGTCTATAAAGGAATAAATTAAGAAATTGATATAAACTATAAAAAAATTGGGTAAAATGTCATCAAAATTAACTACTCATAACTTAACTATCATATAAATTTATATATAAAAATAAAAAAAAAATAATTTGTGGATTTATATTTATAATTTAATCACTTGTAATGTAAATATTAATTATTTAATTTCGAATAACAAAATAATTGCTCACTTTATTTGTGTATATATAAATCGAATCGTTATTTTTTGTATATATATATATATATGTATATATGCATATATATAATTAAATTTGATCAATGTTTGTATGTATATATTTGACCGAATTAGCAAACATGTACCGTAAATGAAATTCGCAGCAAAAAACTTGATTGTTTTTTTTTATGATCGCGTAACACTTTTATTATCCAAGTAAAAAATGATTCTCATTTCGATTGAAAACAATCCCATAGCACAATAACATATAAATATATTAGGGTGGTCCTTAATATGGACATTTTCGAATTTCCTTGCTCCCAAGGGCTCAAATGGTTCCTAATTGATAAAAAACAATTCTCTGAAAGTTTTAGCTCTCAATATTAACTTTTAGATAGTGCGCAATATATATATATATATATATATATATATAATTATATACATTTTTTACTTTCATAATTTTTTGAAATCTTACATGGTTTGCTATCGTTTTAGAACTGCCCCATGATGACACACATTTATTCCAGAAACGTATGAAATTGATATTATTGAATAACATTATTTTTTACAAGACGCTGATAATATTTTCAAAAGTATAAACAAAATATAAATTACAAAAAAATTCTATATATTTCATTCAGAAAATAATTTGTGTGTGTGTTATAATTTTTCATCAGTTTTTCCATACAATTTAAAGTATAAGTTCATGATGATCATAGTGGTATATGTATAAATTATTACTAATCATTTTGAATTTTTTTGAAACATATATAATTTTTACATTATATATATGTATATATATATATATATATATATTTTATTTATTTTCTTGATTTGTTTTACTATTAATATTTTTACGCTAACTATAGTGAAAATATTTATTCGAAACTAATACAATTTTTATATTTTAAAAGCTTTTAACTTTTACGTGCAAAAAATGGGCTAATTTGTTCCACAAACCGTGATTTATCTTACAAGTTATAATAAATTGTTTTAAGAGTGTTCTAAAAATAAAAAGCAGTGTGCAGTTTCTATGGCTTAGAGAAACTATTCAGTAAATTATCCTAAACATCACAATTGTAATGAAATATACTTTAATAATTAATACTTTAATATTAATTTAATTTGCAAAAATTATTAAACATATTTTTATTATAGCTGAATGTACGTGTTTAGTTTGCTATGAACAATAAACCAAAAAAAAAAAATATTTAGATTGAAGTTATTATTCATGATATTTTTTTAGGGAATTGGTTATAAAATTTACTTTTTAATGGGGATTTAATTGAAAAAAAAAATTAGTACATCAAAAGTACTAAATAGTGATTAAATTTTCAAATATTTGTATAAAAATTTGTATTTTTTGTTCTGCTCCTGAATAAGGAGGTATCCCATTTCTTCGAAACCTAGGAATATATGACAAATCAAATATTATCTTGTAAAAAAAGTCTTATATATACGATGAGAAGTATATTTAATAGCATAAGGCAAAGTAAATATACAAAATGCAAACAAATAATATAATTAATGTTTATACAAGAACCAAGTGTATGAAAAATCGCTTATATGATTTATATATCTCTTTAAATCTTGAAACAAATATTTCAGTATACATCTCATATTATTTAGTATCGTATTTTCTGATGAACTAATTTATTTGTCAAAACAAATTTATAAAAAATTTATAACTAATTTATTACTAATTCAATACTAAAAACTAATTGCCCAATTCTTTACAAGACGCATATATAAATTATTCTAAAATATTAAAAATAATATAATATTGATATATTTGATATTTAATTTTAATTTAAAAATATTTAAATATGATAATAAATATTTAAACTAGATCATAAATGATGCTTTAATAATGAAAAATTGTAGCACATAGGAATTATTTTATGAAGTGAATAAATATTATATAATTTTGATATACGTACACCTGTATAAGTAACTACCTGTATATATACACTTGTACATATACACAGATGTGGAAGATTTTTAAATTTCTATTTACCTTACTTATACTCATTACTACTATAGAAAAGTAATTTTCCTAATATGTTACGGGGCTAATATTCAAATCAATTAAAAATCATCAAAAATATAAGAAATATATAATTGTATACCAAAATGAATAATTTATAAAGAACCACACCTGTATATGCAGTAAAAATTTTGATTTTTTTTTTATTTATCATATATATACTACTGGCTTTGAATAAAATAAATTTATAAAATTTTGCAATACTAGTAACGTAGATTTTTCTATTGGAGAATATTCTAATCAATTAGAAATCATTAAAAATATTTGAAAATGTAATACACACATGTATAAATGTAATTAATATATATACATATAAAAATGTATATAGATAGACGAAAAAAAAATTTCTGAAAAATAATTGAGAAAAAAACTATTTTGAAACAATTTTTTTTTCCAAAATCAATTATTTTATTAAATAAGCAAAAAGTCTTTGAATTATTCAAATCGGACGCTTAGTTCTCTCAAAAACTGCTACTTTTTGCACATTTAGCTCTGTATCTTCAAAATGGCTGGGCCTGCCTTTGCCAAAAACTAATAACCCTTTATCCCAATCATTACTAATTGAATGTTTAGAATTAGATCATTTCAATCGGATACTCCGTTCTCTCAAAAACTCGATTTCTATTTTCTGCACTCTTTGCTCCGTTTCTTCGTAACTGCTGGACCTGCCTTTGCCAAAAACTAATCAGCTCATCTCCCTATCAATAGGAATCGAATATTTTTCGAACCATTCAAATCGGTTGATCCGTGCGCCCGAAAACGTGGACGAAAAATTGTATCCATACATACATACACACACACATCCATTTTTTCTGAGATACTCCAAAATGCTCAGAAACCTTCAAAACGTCGAGAAATGTAAAAATTTTCAATTACGATTTTTGGACGATTACAATAACTTACCCCACGGGAAGTTAAAAAAAAATAAAAAAATATACATATACCAAAATTATGGTTTAATTGATGCATAAATAGAAACTAAAGAAAAATTATAACAAATACACCTGTTATTTCAGGTAATATTAATTGTAATTTTTTTAACTCACACCTGTGTGTTTCTGTGTATGTAGTGGAAGATTTTTAAATATTTATTTACCTTATATTTCATTAAAAGTTAATCTAAAGTCTCCACAGCCATCCAGCACTTAAAAAATTAGGCTAAAAACACTTCCCACATTAATTAAGCACATATGTCGACTAATTTTCCCACAACATCACAAAGCACATGGTTGTAAATACTATCATAGGACCGACCTATAGGTATTATTTATTATGTGTTTTTCGAGGTCATTTTTAACAATGTCGTTACATGGCCACATAAATTGTGTTTTTTTATATAAAGTTACTTGATTTAAAAAAAATATTTTTTTATTAAAAGCGTCCTGAGACGAACGCGACGAGTTTCATACTGACTGTTAGAAATTTTCAGCGTGTTCGCATTTGCCGGGTTTGTAAGTTGTAAGGAGGAGGGACGTAGTAGTAAAGGCGCCGGAAGACAGGGCCGGATAGTATAGTTCACTATTGAGGACCTTGAGGCAAATTGCTGGAACTGTCCCTACCGCAATGAAAAATTAATAACAAAAATTTATATCCGCACACACACATCAATTTTTTCTAAGATGTGCCAAAACGTTCAGACACTTCTGAAACGTAAAGATATATAAAAATTTTTATTCTCGATTTTTGGACGATTACAATAACTTACCCTACGGAAAGTTAAATATTCGGAAATTTTAGTCGTTATTATACCCAGGCGATATTCGACATACTCAGACAAAAGACCCAGTCTCAGACATACTCAGACAAAAGACCCAGTCTGGGATGCATAAAAGCATTTCCTTCGTTGCACAAAAAAAACCAAAGACTAAAATTTTTTTCAAATTAGTTCATATGATTTTCATATCAATTTTATATTGAAAAAGCAAATCAAGATATTATATTTCTATTTTCTAGCCAAATATAAGAACACGAAGAAGATATCCAAAATTAATTTAACTTGTGATCAATTGAGTAATAAAATAATTATTTGTGTTTGAAATTGGACTCAGGACAATATAATCTTAAAAAAACTTAAATTTTTATTTAACTTTGACTATAGAAAAAAAATATGTTGGCACTACGCTTCAAGTCATTCTGCAACTTTTAACACCAGACTTTTGAAAGTCTGCTCTTTCGTCGATTTTTTCCTAAAAACGTACAAATTGACAAATAATATTCACTTACAGATTAATTATTTTAATTTTAGTTGCTTTATTTTTTGCATAATTAGATTTAACTATACAGGTTCGAAATAGATCCACTGTAATTCAATAACTTTTTTATAACCTGAAATCAATTTGTTGTTTCTGTTATTTTCGGATGTTTTCATTCAACAGTATCAATAAAGTTGCATATCAGAATAATAAATTATATGATGATTTACTGAAATATTCCATTCGCCTTTGATCTTGAGGCGTCTTGAAAATTTATAGCTTTCTATTTTTGTCATTTTTTTACGTTAGGTCGTTCCATTTGAATAGTTTTATTTAAAACAAATAAAAAATCTTAGTAGAAGCATTCTAAAATTCTTTTAGTTTTAACACTACACTTACAGTTTTATACACTTGCCCCATTTTGAATGGAAAATCCTATTTTCAGCAAATATTAGAGAAGATTCATAATAAATTTTGATATAAAATATATTTTTTAAAACATATTTTTGGAAAACCTCAGTACAGATTTATTAAATATAAAATATTGATTGTACAAATTTACATACCTTTTGAGAAAATATATCAGACATTTTCACCAGACATTTAAAAAATATTTAAACAGGTGTTTCTTTTCAAACCATGTTCTATATTATTTGCAAAATTCATTCCATTTTCTTTCAAATCTAGTACAATTTGTGCCATTTATAGAATGTTGTTATTAAATCTGTATTTTTGGGTGTTCATAGTTACTTTCTCGCAGGTAAAATGAATATTTATGCAAATTTAACAATAATAAAATAGTGTTTTTATAAATGGACATTGAAATGTTTGAACTTGACCTCGAACGTTTATTGAATTATTGATTTCAATGCGAATGATTTTTGCTTATTAATTGAAGATGATTCGATTTGGAGGATAACTTGATTTTTTTTATCAATGTTTTCTAGACTCATCAGGTTATTTATACTTACTAATTTTGAAAACAATATCTTTCATAGATTGTTCGTTGATGTATAAAAATTTCTCGTTAATTTTTTTATTTATATTGTATAACTGGGCATTTAATGAATTTTGGACTCCTTCCAAATTTCCAAAATTTATAGGAGGATCTATTAAACACAACCAATTTTAAAAATTTTTAATTTATATTCAGAAAAAAGTCCTAATTCTTAAAAACTTGAAGCGACTGTGTTTTTTGTACGATGGTCCTAAAAATTTTATTCGCGGTTACGATTTCAAACCAAAAAATTGTAATAATTTCATCTAGGTAAGATCTAGGTTGCACATAATTTTTCTAATTTTTTCTAATTTTTAATTTTTTCCAGAACAGTTAAGGTTAATATCACCCTGTACCGGCTTGCCGTCAAAGTCTGGAACACCCTGTACATATATATTGGAAAGCAAAAAATGTTGATCTTAAAAATTTGCTGAATCTTTTTGCATTTATTTAAATTATTTAAACTTTGTTGTATTTATTCTTAAATATTATGGGTCCAAGTGGTTTAATTACAAAAAATCATTACAGCTTGTAACTAAAATTTCAAAATTCAATCTTTACGATTTTAAAAGTTGCTACACATATATCAATTCTTGTGGAATAAGATAATCATTTACACATATCAGGACGTTTCTGCAACTTGCCTTAAGAAAATGCCACTGTCACCTAGTTTGTGAATATTTTCACACCTGCCAAACCAGAAAAAAAACTACATTTTAATAAAAAGATCCAACACAGATACTCCGAGCGTGCGAATCGATTTCATTTCCACCTGACTGTATTTTTTCAATTTCCTGTACATTTTTTCGATCAGAAAAATGACTCAATCATCTCGAATTTCCTTTACCATTCGAATACGATATTTTTCGAATGTAATTTGGTTTTTGGTCGATAAATAAAAATTCGCAATATTTCTCGGTTTCAGATTATTCACTCCATCTTCATTTCAAGGCACTCAAAGAAATTAGCTGTTTGATGTATTCCCAGAGGTCTATTGATGTATAGGGTAATATAAAAATAAGAGCAGGGGTGGAAAAGATTAATATGAAAGTGGGTCATATTTTGGATTGATTTAGTATTAACGTACTGATAATTTTGGTCGTTTGTGAATATTTCTATTCATATTAAATATCTTGTTTTAAATTATAAGCATAGAATTCAGCAATATCTTTAATTAGATTGCTTTCATTAATATTCACAAAAATCTCGGTCATATAATATGATTTCTTGCTTATGTGCCCATCGACTTAAATGTGGCAATTTACTATCCAACTGTTCATCCATACGAATTTTAGATTTTAATTTTGTTAATTTTTTAATTATTAATAATTTTAAAAAATATAGAAAAAATCAGTAAGAATTTTAATAATAAAGTACATTTGCATTTTGAAGTCTTTTGTCCATTTATTTATCTGCCCATTTATTTTTGAACACATCTGTCCATCTGATACGCAAATTTTGTCATTTTCTAGAAAAAAATTTATAAAATAATCGAAAAAATTTAATAAGAATTAAATCTTTATATTGAAATTATTTACTTCAATTTTTTTGCCCATTTAGGTAACCGCCCGCCTATTCATGAACCAATCTGTTCATTTGATATTTATTTATTTTTTTATTATTTTTCAAACTATCATTTACTAAAAATTTAGATAAAATTATATTTTAAAATTACAATTTCATTTACAATTCAAGATGAGTTTGATCATCAATGAAAATCAAACACCTTATCCCCAGATATATATTTGCACGCAATATCTAACTTTCTTGAAGTGGAAAAACGTGGAAAACTTTTATATAAAAGTTCTAACAGGGTTGTAATATAAAATTGGAAATACTTGCAAATTTAGGAAAATAAATTGTTTAAAAATCTTGGACCTAAAGTATTTAAAATAATTTAATTTGGAAACTTTCACAAATATACAAACACAGGAAATAGCTCAAGAATTTAAGAATTCAAAATTAAGACGACCATATTTTTGGTATCAACATGTATTGAAATTATAATTTTTGAAAAATTAATTAGATATCAAAGCCTTTAGGCAACCCTTTTTATTAAATTACCTGTAAGTTTTTATTTATTTTTTGTTTTTTTCTGGGAAAATCAGAATTTTCATACCAATGTATGTCGAGCTTAGTTTTGGAATTTGCAAAATGTAATTTTCTGAATTAATTATCAAACAGATGTAATTAGTGCCATAAAAATGCGATTGGAATTCCTTAGCAATATTATTTAGTTCATTAAATAATTTTATTTTGTGTTTGTTTGTATTACTTAATAACAATTAATATATAAACATTGTTATCTTAACATTGTTGTTTTTAATGTGTTTTAAAACTACTATATTAAAGACTATATTGTAATTAAATTAGAACTTGATATGTTAGACAAATGTATTTATGATGCATTTTAAAATATATAATTATAATAATCAATAATTCTAAACTATCTTAAAATTTTTGTTATCTACATATAATTAATAAATAAAAAAATAACTATTCGACCAGAGTGTTAAATCCAGGAACAGTTCAGAAACCATTTCATTCTATAAGATTTTATTCAAAATTTTATATTTTGCCTTTGCCACTCAAATCGACGAACCATTACAAATTGATATAACCAAATTTAATTAAATTAGTTTAATAATTAATTTTTTGCAGAAATCCATTATTTCAACTTTATCCCTTCAAACTCAAATCTACGAACCATTATCAACTACAACTTTGAGGAACACTTTAGAGGCTCCTGAAGAACAAAATTGGCCTGGAATGCACGATTATTTCGACAACCTCTTGATAGAACACGAAAATAAAATACTAGAAGAAAAAAATGAAAGTGAGAGTATTCATTTGTCCAAAAGAGATTTGAAGACAATATTGATATCGTCTACTGCCACTTTGTTGGCGGTGATATTGGTCATCATGGGTGTGATCTGGGCTTGTGAACAGGAAAGAATGGATAGGGAATTATTGGATTACTTGTTTAATGAATGAAAATAAAAAAAGAAAATTGTTTAATCCTAATATCTTGGAAATTTGAATCTTTCTACTATATAATTATTGAGCAGACAAGGGAATGATGTGGATCATTCTGGAAAATGACCCAGAATGAATGATGGAAGGGATCTCCATCTAAGGATGGATAAGATGTTCTTTTGGTTCATTTGGAAATGATTGCAAGATAATGTTTACAGAATAAAAGTAACTATTTGTTGAGGAAATGTTTTGGAATTGGTTACCATAATGAATTTTTGACTAACAATAAGACATGAACCCAAATTACAAATTAGGCAAATTGACTGAAAAAATGAGTGTTTTGGTTAAGACAATAATTTTGCCTGTAATCTATCTGCTACCAAATAGTTAATAAAATGAGACTATTATTGAAAATATTTATAATGAAGTAGAGAAGTATAATTGTTGAAAGTGATAGAAAAAATAATCATTTACTGCCTGACTTTACTGACTGAAAAAATTAGTGCTTTGATTCAGACAAATTCTGATTCAAAAAAAATTCAATTAGTATGGTTTAATTAACAATAAACACCTTGCCATAGTTATAAAAAAATCATAATGTTTTCCAAGATTTTAAAATCATGTCAACACACAGTTTTTATCCAACTTTATCGCATGAGTTAAACTAATAATAATTTGTATGTAATTTTTAATTTGAATACACAACATGCAGATAAGATTTTTTATATATTTGTAATTACGTAGGTACAGAAGCTATTACGTTTTTTTCTTAATCTGAAGATGATTTCATTTGCTTTATTTATAAAACTAATTGCTAATTATCTATGTTTTATAGACAAATTATCAAATGTATTAATTTTCTTGCATAATTCGTACACATGCTCGTTTTTATGACTTGAACTCTTGCCAAAAATTATAAAATGATCATTATTGGATCAAGACTAGATAATGGAGTATGAAATATTAATTAATATGTTATTATTTTAGCATTAAAAATTTTATTAATTTGATTTAGATTTTAGTTATGTAAAATGTAATATAGATTATTTTTACACGTAACCAATTAATTAGTAATCAGCTCTTGTTTTTTGTTTATGAGTCATGAATAAGAATTATTAATATCATATATCGATTCATAGAAAATGAATTAATAACCGATCTAATATGTATTAAACACACACACAAAATATCATACATATATGTAGATGAAAAGTGTAAATAAAATAATAATTGTTTCCATTTATTGATTTTGTGGATGTCTTTGAATATCTCATTAAAATTCATTCTCATAAATTGGATCATTCAAATCGGATGCTCCGATCTCTCAAAACTCCATTTCTATTTTCTGCACTCTTTGCTCCGTATCTCCGAAACGGCTGAACCTGCCTTTGCCAAAAACTAATCAAAACATATCCCTATCAATAGGAATCGAATGATTTTTGAACCATTCAAATCGGTTGATCCGTGTGCCCGAAAACGTGGACAAAAACTTGTATTCATACTCGTACATACATACACACACACCCCCTTTTTTCTGAGGTATGCCAAAATGTTCAGAAACCTTCAAACGTCGAGAAATGCAAAAAAAATAGATTTTGATTTTAGGACCATTACTATAACTACCCTACGGATGAAGTAAATAATAATTGTTTATATTTATTGATTTTGTGGATAGATTCTTTCAAATTTTCATAAAATAAAGCCTTCGAGTGCTGAATACTTTGAAAATTCATTCCCAATTTTTCAAAATTATTATATTACTTATTATGATTTAAATTTTAAATTTTTTAATAAAATGTAATATTTTTTCTACTATATTACTAATATTTACCATCTTTTTGTTTATTTTCATCGATAATTCTTTCATGCGTCAACGATATACGGTACATATTTAATATGGACAAACAGTATTGTTTTGTGTATAAATGCAATTAACAATTTTATATTAATTCCACAAACATTGTGATACACATATTCGGTAGAAAGACAAATACTTTACACATTTGAAAATTGGACCAAAATAAGTTTTGAAATATACTTCTACACTTATAATTAGAGATCGTAGTAATATACATATTTATATACATTTGTGTATTTGGCATTTTCTCAGGTTGCAAAATAATTTCATTCTCAGTAAAGGTAAGAGAAATTCTTTAAAAATTTAAATGGATGAATAATAAAATTGTTTTTTTTTTTATGTTTTGAAGCTACATAATTATAACTTTCTCTAGGGTAAGTTATAGTAATCGCAACGAAATCTAAAAAGATCTTATATCTTTACGACAGAATAAATAAAAAATGCATGTGTGTATGTATATGTATGTATGTTCGGATACTTTTTTCACCACAATTTTGGAAGAACAGATCAACCGATTTAAATGATTTTAGAAGCATTTGTATTGTATTGAAAGAAAGGCGTGCTTAGTAGTTTTGCCGAAAGCAGGTCCAGCAGTTTCGTAGATACAGAGAAATATGTGCATAAAATAGCAGCTTTAAGAAAATGGAACATCCGATTAGAATGATTCAAACAGAATTTGATTCGTATTGATGGTGAGATACACTGATTGTATATACTGTACTGATAATATGTATGTATTTTTGAATATTTTTTTGTCCACGATTTCTGTAGCACGGATCAGCCGATTTGAATGATTCGAACAACATTGCATTGAGTTATATTACTTTTGGTGAAAGTAGGCCCAATCATTCTGGAGATTCAGAGAAAAAAATGTGAAAAAGTAGTTTCGAGAAAAACAGTGCATGATTATATTGATTTAAACAAGATTTGATTCGTATTGGTAAGGAGAAGTACTGATTAATTTTGACAAAAGCAGGTCTAGCTCTTTTGGAGCAAAAAGTAGTTTTATACTATAGTCATAAAAAATTATATTTTAAATTATATTCGTACAAAACTTCATCAACATCCTCAATATCCTTTACCCATTATCCATCAATGGAATTGGCAGTAACTTTATAGAACATGTGCAACATTTTGCTAGAAAGTTGTACGAGCAAAATAACATAAAATAGAATTCATTCCCGTCACGTATTTTCTCGGATAGACCGCATTGTGAAAATTAACACTTCTGCAACGCGGCATAAATAAACACCAGCACCTTTTTCATTTTATTGCCTTTCAAATGTATTTTCAAATTTTCAAACTACCGAGGAAATAAACTGGGTAAAATTGGTAGCAGATAAAATAATAAACTATCAAAATAACTATTATATTCAGCATTGAATATATACCTATATGAAATAATTACCTTACTCACTTTTAGTCGATTGAAGGTACCAAAACACTTGCTTTTTATAAATACACTAGTCACTGCATATATTTTTACACTACAAAAAATCTAGAAAATTTTCCAGCGATTATTTGTTCCTGCATAAATTATAATTCATTATCTAAATTGCCAACATATTCTGATAACTTGCAATTTAAGTTGAGTGCGAATTAAAATGCATTTATATTACGAACACACGTTTAATAAAGATATAAAAATATTTTTAAAATATCACTTCTTACTTTTTACAACAACTTACATACTTTCTAGTTGTTTGTCAAAATATCTTCAAAGGAAAAACGGTTTGAAGGTGTATCCTTCTCCAGAGTAAAATTTGCTCATGTATTCCACCCTGAGAAAAAATTAGATTAAATTTAACATGGTTTTGATGATGACTCTAAATTTATGTTTGATTACCAATGCAATCGTAAGGTATGCAAAAATGCTGATAATCCTTCCATAAGAACCAAAACAGTGACAGTCAATACTGCCCAAGCAGCAAAAGCTCCATATAAAAATAATGGTGCCAAAGGACCCCGGAGATGAGAAGGTCCTGATATCACTCGCGACCAGAGCACTTCAGAAAGTTCTGAAAAAAAATTAATCTTGTTACTTTTAAAACTGAAAAATTTCCCAACATATTTAGAATTTTATTAGTATTTTTTTCTTACGTGAATGTGCCAAAGAAAGGGCCCACAATCTCAAATAAGAAGCAGTATGTGACACAGTGGCTCAGGACAAATTCAATCGTGTGGATTGCTTGAAGAATAAATTCATCTCCTAAATTGTATTCTTCATCCAAATGTGGTTCATCATCATTTGGTAATAATGGAGTCAGCTCGGAAGTGATTCTGTCTGGAAAAACTAGAACAAAATCATAAAAATAATTAGACAAATAATGCTAGAAGCTACAGCCAAAGAAGCTAAATCTTACTACTTTATCAAATAGAAATCAGCATGGAACAAAATAAGACTTGTAAATAAATCATTTAATAATGTATCTTTACAATATTCGCCTGAACCGTATATGTGCTGACCGCATTGCACCAACGTGGTTATTTTTGTACGCCAGATTTTGCTTATCACAATTAACGGTTTTGCTAAACAACATAAGGGAATGTTATCAAAGCTAAAGTAACCAGTAC